TTTCTTTGGAATCTGTTGCTAGAGATGATATTTTCAGGGTGTCGTGTTGTCTTCTTTTTTCTTTTTTCTGGCATTCCTTTACTGAGATTTGTATACCTGCTGGATCCGATATATCAGCCACTTTTACAGAACGGCCTTCTTTGTACTGGCTTTTTCCTCAAGGTAGACTTTCATTTTGTTGTGCAATGTTGAGTTTATTTCCAGCTGCACACTGCGGTACACTCTCCCTCCAGCTTCTTTGGCTGTGATTAGATCTGGACACAGGGTACAACTGTATCAGCACTAGAGACCTACATCACAGAAGAATGAGGGCCCTCTAGCAGTTCCGGCAGCTGTGGTGTAGACAGCAGAGCATGTGGGATACACATTATGTGCCTACTCCTACAGTAAGTGTGGTGGTGCTTATTGGGTGATGGGGATTTCCTCAGGCACTGGTGCTGGCTATACCGGTAGTGGTGAGGGGCCTGATCCACTCGTCCTCCAACCAGACAGTGATGTGAACCAAGGTTCTTCATGAGAAGAGGTGGGGGCAAGAACCGCAGTATTCCGTCTGTGGTCTCTCCTCCAGACCTGTCAGCAGTGCATGATCAGACTAGGTGAACAGATGGCTTAGTAGAAACTGCTCAGGTGTGGTGCAGCCATAGTTGTCTTATTCCTCCATGCTGCTGTTGGCATGACCACGCAGAGCAGGATGTCAGTCCTGCTAGGCATGTGTGCCTGGGAATTGGGCCAAGGCCAGGGCTTTTCTCCCCTTATCTTTTCAGCTTCACTGTCTACCAGAGATGGAGTAGGGGTTGGCTACAGCTGGGCAGGTAATGTTCCTCTCAGTTGAAGTGCCCACAGCAGTGAGATAAGAACATAACTATAGCCAGTAGTGGGCCACGGTCTTAGCTTGTGTGCCCCGGAGGTACAGTGCTAGCCAGTTCCTCAGCACTGTTCAAGACCACCCCAGCCAATCCTACGGACAGGGCAACACTAAAACTGTAGTTCTTTCCCTGCCTTATTTAGTGACAGGTGCCCACGTAGTGATTTAGCGGTGGTGGGAATAGCACGAGTGGCCGCCTTCAGTCCTGACACCTATACAAACCCACATGAGTCTGTTCATACCCTTGGTCTCGGAGAAGAGGCTCCCTGATCCTCCAGCTTTTAATCCCGTCCACTCCATGGCATAGCACCCATCCCCTACAGTGCAGCTTTCTAGCAGTTTTGCGTCAATCACTCTGCCGAGCCGTTTTGTTCTCACAGCAGCTGTCTATAAGCCAGTGCAGCGCAATGTCTGTGAGGTCCCAGCCATGGGAGTATGGAACTGTTTGATTCCTAGAGCCCCCTAAATTCAAACAATGAGTCTCTGCTCAAATGGTTCCTGACTAACGCAATCTAGAGGGCCGCTGGGAAGTGATGTGAAATGCTTTCCAAAGCAAACCTACAGTGCAGCTTTAAGGTTATTTATAGCTGCATACCTGTAAAGGATGGAAACTTTCCAGGAGCAGGGATTGTCAGCACTGAGGGAGTTGGCTGAGACTTCCACCTTTACCCCCACAGATGGGAGGCTTCCCTTACCGGGCTGCATGACTGTTATTTCCCTTACTATGCTGTTATCCCAAGTCTCTGTTTGTTTGTTTGGTTGGTTGGTTTTGGGTGCTGGGAATCAAACTCAGGACCTCGTACTTGCCAGGCAGGCGCTGTGCCGCTGAGGTATATCCTTGGCAGGTCCCTGGTTCTTACAAGGTTTCCATTTTTCTTTTGTTGATTTCATGTTCTCCCATGATCACTCCACTCAAAATGTAGTTATACATGCTTTTGTGCAGAAGGGGTGAGTGACAGGGGCCTTTACTCAGTCACCTCGCTGCCTTCCTGTGTAAGTACCATGTGCTAATTGAGTGCACAACTGGAGCTCGTGCTGCCTTCATATTCTAAATTCCTTACTTACACCTGACTTTTCCTTGCTTCTAGATCTTCCTAATGGTTGTTCAGATTTCTCTCCCTCTTCCTCGTTTGACTGGCTTCTAGGTTTAGAGGAATATGTGATCTCATGGCGCAGAAAAAGGGGTATGGTTCTTGACATTCTTCTGGGTCCCCTGTGGCTCTGTCCATAACCACGAATGACTCTTGACTCTTGAGCCCCTCAGGATATGCCCTCGTGTCTAGGGAAGGACCAAGTGACCCTCGCTCGCTAACTCCGCATTACGAGCACATGGATTCCTTTTGGAAGCTCTTCCATGTTCAGGCCTCCAAACTGTCCAAAGTCTTTCATAATTGAACTATTAACAATGTCACTTTTTCATACCAAGGATTTTTCTCTTTTAAATGCAAATTTTATAATCTATAACCTTCATTGTATTTGAACTTTGTTTTAAAGAAGGTTTTACTTCTGTAACAATATTTTCATTTCTTCTTTTTTTTTTTTTTTTTTTTAAAGTAGTTATGGCACCCAGCTGAAGGTTCTTTCACTCAGTCTGTATACAGATCACAGACAGGCACAGTGAACCTCTTTCAGTATTAACACCCCTGAGCTTCGACTGTCAGAGCTATCAGCTCTTAGTGGTCTCTGCCATTCTCCTGGCAACCCAAACCAGCAGCTAGCAGGAGGCTGCGAGAACTATGCTGGCCTCTGGAGACGGCCGCTCCCAGCAGTTCTGTTGCTCCCATTGTTGGTTGCTAGCTGAACTCTGTTATCCGCCTCAGCTGCGGGTCCTTTTTGCACCAGCAGTTTTCCATGTTACCAGCTCAGCCTGCTCTACTCAGGGTAAATGTCACTAACAGGAAAAACAAGTCACTTGAAAGACTTTATTAGGACTTAATGCTAGACCACGAAGGGTGCACAGACTGACCCGCTAAGGGTATGAGGGAAGGTGCTTATACAGAAGAAACAGTGGGGCACAGCACACATAGTATGGGAGGGCTCTCTGTGGACCTGAGGATGGCTGCAGTGGGGCAGCATCACGGAGAGACTGCAGGGTACAGTCATCTGAGATGGATCCATGACTTAAGCTTGCTACAGCCAAAGCAAATGTCTCCTGGAGAAGTCTCATGTGGCCATGGACAGCTGCAAGGTGTAAGGACAGCCATAGAAGAGAAAAAGAAAAAGTACTTAGGAAACACTAGGCTTTTCTCTCATCTCGGGCTTTTAACCCATTCAGCATTTTTTGGGGGGGCACATTTGAGATAGGATCTAACTTGATACTTTTACAAATTGATAACCTATCACAATACCCCATTTGTGAACAACCCATCTTTTCACTACACATTTGAAATGATACTAAAAGTCTGGTTTTTAAATTCTTTAGTCTGTTCTAGTAACCCATCTGTCTATTTCTATGCTTTATAAAACCATATCTTTATAATATCCTAATACTTGATATCTTTGTTCTCTTCAGAGTTTGACAGGTATTCGTATTTATTTTTCTCTAGAGTTTTAGAATAACATCTAAAAACAAAATCCTTCTGAAACTTTGGTGCAGACTACACTAGTTGACTGGGGAGATAACTCAGCAGCACAGCACCTGCCTGGCAAGCGCAAGGTCCTGACTTCGATTCCCAGTATAAAAATCAAACAAAATAGACTACACTGGCTTACAGATTGAAAGCTAAGCCAGTTCTTTTATAATTCTACATAAGTTCAATTTTAATTTCACTCCCATTGTTCATTCTCTGTGCATTTTCGTTTTTATTAGCTAATATCTACTTTTGCATATCCAGTTTGGAAAGTGTCACATGGTTAACTGTGCACTTTGCCATCTGTATATAAACACAGTGATCGATCAGACTCTGAAAGAGTGACATAACGATCACATACCACGATGCATCCATTAATTTTTCTCTGCTGCAATAAATTAGCACAAACTTTCTGGCTCAAAACAACACAAATTATTCTTTTCAATTCAAAAAGTCGGAAGTCCAAGATGGTCTTAACCCAGCTAACATCACGGTGCTGGCAGCGTAGTATCCCTTCTCAGGTCTCTTCAGAGAAACCCCGAGGCTCATGGCCCCACTTCCCATCTGTAAAGCCAGCAGGATAGCACATAAATCTCTCCCCAACTCCTTTGGTCATCACATCTCCCTCTCTGACTCTGACCTTCTGCTACCTTCTTGGGAGGACCCTTATAATTACACACCGGAGACACCCTCATAACCCAGGACAGTGTCCCCGGCTCAGGATCCTAACTTCATCCCATTAGCAAAGTCCCTTTCGCTATGGAATATGACACCGCACAGTTTTCAGACGTTGGGGACAGAAGGATAGTCTGCCTGACACAAAGCACATCTGTTACTCACACAGTGACTTGTGGGCTGAAGAGCTACCAGTGAAGTTCAAACTTTATGGAATTACTCAGCTAACAGGCTCTGATAACTGAGATCTGAATTTCAGTAACAGGAGATTCATGTTATTTAAACCACACTAACTAGGATCTGTGCATATATGAAGCATGAAAGGGGTATCTCCTGTTTTAAGTACAGTTGACAGGTCAAAGAGGATGAGAACAACGTCCAGTACTACACGTGCGGGAGGCAGGGCCAGGACTACATGAGCTGAGGCAGGAGTCCCTGTGTGCCTTTGTACCTGAAGAATACTCCCAGGGAAAGAGCAACCCTTCTCTTGCACTGAGTCTTCAGCTCACCCGGACACGTGAGGAGTACTGCAGCTGTTCTCTTTGAGAGGTGTAAGTGGCTGTGGGAAAAACTTTTAGAATACGGCTGTACCTCCCCTCGGACCTCTGCCATCTTTTGCCGCTCCACTAACCACGTCGGAGTCCTTGTACTCTCATCCTCAGTGCCTGGGCATGTGCTGCACTTTCGGAAGCAAGGCTTTTTTATTTATGTTGATTAGCAAACATAAGAGTTCCTCTGATAGGCGATTAAAATAAAATGAACACTTCCTATGTGCTCAGACATTTTGAACAGGTTATAATAAAAGTAAATAAGGGACACACTTTCCTGATACAAAATATAACTTTTTAAAAATACCAAATACACATTTTTAACAAATTGAACCACTCATATAAAGTTTCTCATGAATTAATTTATTTAAACAGCAAAAAGGTCAGCTCTACACCTCTGACTGGGATTACGATGTTCAATCTTTTCAGCAGGGATATTACTCCCAGTCACACACACAAAGGCACGGGGGCACTGACAAAGGGGTGTACTATGTTCATCTGCAATAAATACCTCAGCTGACGCAGCCGGACACCTCTTACAGAGGTACAGCTCATTTTTAATACATAAATATTCCAAATATTTTCATTGTCTGACCTGAGGAAGAAAAAGGAGTAAGAAACACCCCATGGAAAAGGACTTCCCTCCGTATTAAGTGCTATTACCTTATTGCAGCCAATGTTACTTCAGAAGTTTTAAGATGGAAGGGAAAAGATCGCACACCATGCTTAACCCTGGAGGTAAAAATGAAACCAAACCCTTCTCGGCCTGCGGCTCCTGTTGGCTCTCTGTCATGAGTGCTGCACCCGGGACAAGACAGCAAATACCCCTGAGGCAGCGGCTCCATTTTCATGTCCAACTGAGACAGATAAGGACTCCAAGTGCTAAGTGCATATTTCAAGCATATGTTCTGCACCCATTTAGAGGCACAATAAATTATGAAATTCATTGATACCAACTCACAGGTACTCTCTGTGGTGAATATAAGCATTATACTTGGTACTTCACCTCCAGCTCTTCCCTTAAAATCTTTTTTGACACCACAGGGAGCAGACCTTGATACACATTCTGAAACTCTCACTATAGATTTCCATCCTGCAGCCACCATGACCTCACACTTTGTCCTCGCCAGCAGGTGAAAGGGCAGTCTCTCTTTTCCTGCTGGCTCTATCTGCACCAAGCTTCTCAGGAGACCACGTCAGGTGCAGATTATACATCAAAGTCCTTCAGCTCTCCCCAGCTGGCACCTATCTTCACTTTCACTTTCAGTTTCACAGAAAGTTTTATGGCACTCTCCATTTCATTCTTGACAATCTGAGCTACCTAAAAGACAAAAAACGCTGAAGTTAACCTCTACCAAACCAAAGGATGCTGGCCAACCCACCCACTGAGAAGGCGATAAAGCAGACTGCAGTTCTTCATCCGATGGTGCTTAAAGCCCAATCTCTGATGAGCAGGAGCTCCCGACAGCTTTAGCTAGAATGTCCCAAGCTTGGAAACCCTGGGCACAGGACCCTACAGTCTCACCTAGTTTCCACAGGACAAAAATAAACCCCGCTCCAGGAACTTCTGTGCTTGAAGTACAAAACCATGCAAGCACTCTTAACTCCTTTACCAGTAAGGACTCGCCATTTATACAGCCACCCTGTGGCAAAGGTAGGGTTCCAGAATCCTCCTGCACGGACTGCAGCCTGACCCAGGGTGTTTTAGCTTTTTACAGAATAGACATGCGCTGCAAAAATACCTGAACAATGTCCTCTTCTGCTACTTCATAAAGAAGTTCATCGTGGAGCTGAAGGACGAAGAAGCCTCCTCTGATTGGGCAGAACATCCCTGGCAGCTTTCTCTTGGGTACTAATCCTACCCCATAAAACAGTAGCAAAAGTGAGCAGCGTGTCAGTGACATGGGAGAACTGCTTTTGTATTTTTAGAGAAATGACAAACTTCAGGAAACTTTAATTAGGAGATTAAACATGTAAGGCTTAGAACTCTATTGGAAATAACTAACAGTTGGCTGCTACCTAACCTTCCTATCAGATCCACAATTTCCCTCCAGAAAGGAGTCTAACACAGAAGTCACAAAATAGGGTACAAAGAGCTCTGCTCTAAACTCTAGTCTTATTTCTCATAAACAACCAACATTTCATCTTTCCATGGATTCCGCTACCACAGTGTGAATCACAGTGCGGCACGGGGCTGACCCTGCTGCAGGAAGGTAAGCTGGTGCTGTTCGACTGCGATTTGTCAGGGGCGCTCTCGGCTCTCGGAAGCCTCACTATGGCAGCACTGGTGCTTCCCCAGTGGGATCATATTCTCCAGCCAAGTAATTCTAACCCAAGCATCCACATGTGGACCTCAGAGCGTCTGTGAACTGAAGTGTCTGTGTGTATACGTTTTCCTGTGGTCTGATCCATACTTTCCGTGGATTCTCAAAAGTACCCATGATTCTAAAAATGGTGAAAAACTGCTGTACCTAAGTAGATGGGCCTAGTGGATCAGACCATGACTGTCTGGTCACAAGATAAGGTCCAAAGAAATACCTGCAGCGTTCCTGCTTTTCCCATAGCTTGTAGCAGTCCTTCCTTTCTACCATCCAGATTTCTGACTTATGCATCATACCCAGCCCAAGGACTACCTCCTTCAATATCTCCTGCTTTCCTCCAGAGTCCTTGCATTGTCACTGACTGCAGCCCAAGTTTGCTCGCCCTCTGGCAAGGCTGTTCATCCGCTGGTCAGCTTTGCTAAGCTCTAATCTGCGGCCTTAGGCCTCGCATATCAACACACCACTGCCTGTCTGCATGCTCTAGCTTTTCTCCCTTCTGAGCACCGTCATTTTTGCTCCCAATTTCCCCGAGTTATCCGGCTTCTGACCCAGAAGGCCATGATCCTCTTGTTTATTCCCTGTATGCTCAGCCTCACTTCTTAAACAGGGACTTTAAAAACTCATTAACATTTAAAAACATTAATAAACCCAGCATATTTTAACATGAATAACATGTTTTTATGAAAATATATTTTTATGCTTCTGCCTGTATGCTTCTACCTCATTGTATCTTTCTTCCCTTTTTAGAAGATTTTAAATTTAAACATGGGTTGATAACTTTGCCTTAACTCTCCCACAATTACATCTACATAACTGGCTACGTTATTCTCTGTAATCTTTACAGTTGTCTCTTAAGAAGCAAATCCCAGCCTTGACTGCTGAGCTGTATCTTTCTGGCCATCTCCAGCATCTTACTCTTCCCTTGAATGCCTCAAGCCTCCTTAAGTTTCTACAAGGAAAATTTAAAGCACGGCTGCAGTCACAGTTTGACAATCCCAGGAACTGTGAAATGTACTAAAAGCAGAAATACAGATAGGTGACAAAAGGAAAAGTTCTATGTACTTGTCAGGACAAGAAATAATTTAAGCAATAAGAGAATTTAGAGAAAATATTTTGAAAATAAGAACTTTCCAGAGATCATAGGACATGTGATCCTGCAACACACTGATGCATATGCAGAGTAGAGACTCTAGCTTCTTTTCTAAGGCCAGGAATTAGAGACTTGCAGAAATGTAAAAATAAAGTCACCCATTACTAATTTTCTTTTGCTCTGTAAAGATGTATTTTCATAAAAACATGTTATTCATGTTAAAATGTGGTGGGTTTATTAATGTGTTTAAATTTTAATGAGTTTTTAAATTCCCTATTTCATTTATAATATGGTAAATACAGTAGACACAATCCATATAAACAGTAATTCTTTTGGCAGACCCCTAATAACTTCTAAAATTATAAAAACTTAATGAAAACATCTGAGAACTTCTGAGAAATAACATATAAACTACTTCCTGTTTTTGGACACAGTTATTTTCACCGTGTTAGAACAAGGGCCTCACTGGTGAACAAACCTGTGCCTTCTCTTTGGAGCACGCTCTCCCGATGGCCGTGAGATTTGAAGGCTGAGTGGAAGGTCTCCAACTGCTTCTGAATGTTAACTGTGGCCACCTTGACTATATCAGCTGCGGATCCTTGGACTGTTGTGTTAATGGCCTGACGTTCAGCCTAGGAAAGACAATACCAAGTGCTCCATCAGTTACACCAGCACGGTTTCAGATTTTCCCTCAGTGTCCACAGATGAATGTTAGTATTTGCAGACAAAATGGAAATCTGGACGGACAGATGACCCCATCAACTATCAGGCTGCATCCCAGCACCAGGTGTAATGGCCCATTGCTCTAGATTCTGAGCCACCCACTAGAGGACAGACCAAACATGACATTGCTTCTTTAAAATTCATCAACTCTCAGGACCCCAAAACTACATCGTATTTAGAAGGTATATACTACCTCAAAATTATTTTACTTTATAAACATACACCATCAGTATTCTAGCTGTTCTAAATTTAAAAGGATTTATTCCTCAAAATACTCTTAATCCTAAATAGAAGTAGATTATCATTCTTCATGATGTGGGATAGAAACAGGTACCCTATACCAACGGCCTCTTGGTCTTGTGTAGACTTTGGGCCCAGGAAATTAAGAGCCCTCTGCTATGAATGAAGAGTTTTTCATGGGCTGCTAAGGCTGATCATTAGTTTCTGGAGAAAAATCACATCCTAGAAGCCTGTTTGTGAAGTTAGAACTTCCCTGAAGTAATTTCTGCAGGAGCTTCTTAGCAGACGACTATGACTGCTAAAACTTAACATCCTACGGCAGTAGAGAAGGGAGCCTGGCTTAATTCCTGGTGTCACCAGTTCATGACTATTACTACTGGTGCCTCAAAAGGTTTCAGAAAATAGAAAAGGTTTATTCCAGAGAAGCAGCCAAATAGCTTGAGAGGCATCCTCAAGTTCCCTGTCACCTGAGCTACACCCAACTTCCAGAACAGTGATGGCGAACCTTTTAGAGACGAGTGCTCAAACTGCAACCCCAAACCCACTTATTTATCACAATTGCCAACACTGCAGTTAAACCTGAATACTGAGGTTTTAATTTAAAAAAAGTAACTCACACATTAACATTGTTTTTTGGTACTGGGGATTGAACTCAGGGACTTGTGCATAAAGGTAAGTTCTCTACCACTGAACTATACCCAAGACCCTCACATTAACATCTTTTATCTCAAAAACAAATGACGTGTGCTAAAGGTTCACTACCACTGTTCTAGGATATTAAGTATCTGTTAAGAGATATACCTTTTAATTTCAAAGTTAAACTGTTGCTTTGTCACATGCTGGTGAAGTCAGTGTAAACTCACTCAGTTGTCACTCATTAGAGAGACTGAATTTTAGAGTCATACTCACTTCTCCAGGAAACTGTGCCTCTGTGCAGTAAACCTACAGATATACCATGAACAAGCACAAAAACATCAAATACTGCACAATCATGACGTCATACTTTTGAGATTTTCTTCCACATTAAGAAAACCTGGCAGCCTTGAGTCATACAAAGCTCAGTTCTGCCCAGCCCTAGCCACATACTGGGGCCCATGCACCCCGCCCAGGGAGGACCCCAGAACTGACTGGAGGAGCACGTGCTGGGGGCAGCTCCTGGGATCTCTATAGCGCAGAGCAACAGAGGTGTCAACCAACAGACCCAGCTGACTGAAGAGGGGAACAACACCAAGGAGGAGAGCGTCACTTCAGGCCGGAAGCATTGCCCTACCAGAGCCCAGGTGAGAGAAACCCTGGGAGAGAGGCTTGCAGAGGCGGGGAGGTAAACAGAGATCTGCTGAGATTCCTTGGGAGACCTGAGAAGACCCGGAGGTTCACAAGGGCTGTGTTCCGTTGAAGGAGGCCAGGCTTTGAGGGTGAAACATCAGAGGGAGTGGTCCTGAACGCTAGAGGAGTTAGTCTCTGGTATCTTTGCTCTCTGGCACTGCTGCCCACATTCAGCAGAAACTAGTGGTCTGCACTATTATAGGCTACTATATGGGTGGTCTGTCTGCAGAAAATCATAGTCTGATTTTAGCTCTGACTAGAGGATATCCAGGACTGGGCCTTCGGGTTTGGCAATACCCAGTTGGCATTTGATGCCATTGACACCACTGAACTTACAAGGTAATCCAGCAGTGGATAACAACTAGCTTTCTCTCTGCGCCAATATCTGGAGTTCCTGAGGATCATAGGCAACATAAAACAGATATACATACACACAGGGTCATGGGGAAGCAAGGCAACAGAAAACTCCCAAGGTCTCTCAACTCTGCTAAGACACAGCAAGGGGCACAAATGGAGAGGAAAGCAAACGCAAGGCAGCAGAACTCTACAAAAAGTTTATAGGAGGAATGAAGAAACCAGACGAGTTCAAAGAGGAAACAAACCAAAAACTCACGGCATTATCACTCAATATGCCCAAAGTGGGTTTGGGCAAAATAAGCAAAAAATTTGATGAGCTGATGAAAACTGTTCAAAACATGCCTAATGCATTCAAGAAGGATACAGGACCTTCAAAAGATTTCAGGAAGAAATATCTGAAATAAAAGCCTGTATAGAACTCACAAATTGCAGAAATTACCTATGTGAAGACAGAGTATCTAAAATTGAAGACATTGGTAAATTATGAAAAGTACTCAAAGAAGGCACACACACAAAAGAAAAGATTATCCCAGAGATATTAGATGACATCAAGAAGATGAATCTACTGTGAGGCTTACTGAAGTTAGAGAAATGCTAAAGGATAACACAGATGGAATTATTAATATGTTTACAGAAATCATAGTAGAACATTTCCCAAATATGAGAAAAAAGTTTAAAATATAAGTGAGGCTTACAGAACACCAAATAACTATGAAGAAAAAGAAATTCAACAAGGCACATCCTTATTAAATTGCCAGATAGCCAACAAAAAAGAATTTTAAAAGAAGTAGATAAAAACAAACAAAATCACACATAATGGTAAACCAATCAATTGCTGCAGACTTCTCAATGCAAATCCAAAAGGCCAGAAGAGTTTGGAGTGAAGTATTTCAAACCCTAATAGCAACCACCCTAAGCCTAGATTAACTTACCCAGCAAAGCTCTCTCTCAAAATAGATGAAAAATAAAGACATTTCAAGAAAAAGACCAGCTTAAGGAGTAATGACTATGAAACCAGCACTCCAGAAGATATTCACAAACATCCTAGAAATCATGAAACCAACAAAATTTAAAACCAAGATGAAATGAAAACATCAAGCAAAGTCAATGGGTAAATAAGAAAAAATGACAAGAAAAGAAAAGGAGAGTCACCAACACAGAAAGAATGCTATGATAGCAAATACTCTCAGTAATACCTCTCAACATTAATGGCCTCAACTCTCCAATATTAAAAGATACAGGTTGGCAAATTGGATTAAAAAAAAAAACCCAACAGGATGCTGAATTCAGGAAACTCAACGAATCCAAAGATATCTATAAACTAAAAATTAAAGGATGTGAAACAATATTTCATGTGCAAGAACCCCCAAAAGATACAGGGGTAGCAATTTTAATCTCAGACAATGTAAACTTCAAGTTAAAACTGATTAGAAGAGACAAAGAAATCACAATAGTAATTAAGGGAATAATCCAACAAGAAGAGATAATGTTTATAAATATTTATACACCAAATACTGGAGCACCTATCTTCATAAAAGATCAAATAAATACTACCACAATCATATCAGGGGATCTTAACACCCATTCTCACAAAGAGACAGATAAACCAAACAAAAAAATCAATAAAAATGTATCAGAGCTGAACCACACCCCAGAATATATGGACTTAATAGACTTCTACAAGGTATTCTACCCCACTACAACACAGTACACATTCTGCTCTACAGCACACAGTACTTTTCCCAAAATAGATCACATACTCGTTCACAAAGCCTGATTAAATAAATAAAAAGAATCAAAATCACCCTATGTGCAATGAATACAGAAATCAACAGAGAAGAAATCATGGGACAGGTAGAAGCACCTAAAAATAACACACTCCAATGGGTCACAGAAGAAATCAAGGAAGAAATTTTTAAATTCCTGGAAGTTAATGAAAATATCTATACAATGCAATGAAACCTCCAGGACACTACGAAAGCAGTCCTAAGAGGGAAGTCCACTGCAATCAATGCTCATATTAGAAAAACAGAGAGAGCTCAAATAAAGAACTTTATAAGGAATCTTAAAATACTTGAGAACAAACAATCCAGGCCAAAACCAAAGTTAAGGTGGGAAAGTATAAAGATTTCAGTGGAAATCAATAAAACTGAGATTTTAAAAAGTTCAACAAACAAAAAGCTGGTTCTTTGAAAGAATAAACAAAATAGATAAGCCTTTTGCTAAACTTACCAAGAGAAAAGACTTACATCAATATAGTCAGGAGGGAAATCATAAACATGAGAGCAGAAATCAATGAAATTGAAACTAAAAAAGGTGTTTTAGAAACCCACTGAATTGAAGAACTGGTTCTTTGAAATAATAAAATAGATAAATCCTTCACCAGACTTACCAAGAGAGAGAAAAGACTCACATAAATACAATTAGAAAAGAAAAGGTAATATCAAAAGATACTGTCAACATCCAGAAAAATAGTAACTACTTTGAAAAACTGTATTCCAACAAATTGGTAAATTTTGAAGAAATGGATAGATTCTTAGATTCATACAAATTATCAAAGCTAACCTAAGAAGAAGCTAATCCCCTGGGTGGGGATATAGCTCAGCAGTACAGACCTGCCTGGCAAGCACAAGGTCCTGAGTTCAATTCCTGGTACAAAAAAAAAAAAAGAAGTTAATTCCCCAAAATGCTGAACAATTCAATAATAAGCAGTGATATAGAGACAGTAATAAAGCATCTACCAGTTTAAAAAAGGCCCAGACCTGATATATACACCATTGAATTCTACAAAACCTTTAAGGAGGTTACATCACCTACACTCAAGCTCTTCAAAGAAACTGAAAGGGATAGAGTGCTCCCAAATTCATTTATGTAAGCCAGCCTCACTCTGATCCATAAATCAGATAAAGGCCCAACTAAAAAAACTATAGGCCAATTTCCCTAATGAACACAGATGCAGATATCCTCAACAAGATGTCAGCAAATA